GGGGGGGGGAGAAAATGTCTTGTTTCATTTTAAGTTGAAATAATCCGCTCCTGATAATGTCAGACAAGAGAGTATAGGGGAGGCAAAACCTTATCCTTAAGTTAATGTAGAACAGATTAACAGGAGAAAAGTGGACAGATTTACTTAACATACACACAGGAGTCCTCCTAAGGACATGAAGACCCAAACAAGTGGCAAAACCTAAATATTTTATACCAGGTTCAGCAAAGAGGCAACTGTGTAAAAACAACTTATACTGAGGCTAAAAGAAAATAAGAGTATTTTAACAAGTTAAGTTTGTACAGAATTCTTTCAGCCTCAACTTCTGACTGGTGATAAGAATGCTGCTTTCCTCCTAGTAGAAGGAGGACATCTTCCATGTAAGAGTTTTATGTCCTGCTTTCAGGAAGAAGGGGGAGGTTAGAGTGCCCTTCATGTACCTACTGTTTTTCAAGTGCCTTTAGCTAAAGTCATCCTTATGCCAAAATGGCCTATTTTAAGGTGGCATATTCTGCCACTGTCTTCAAAGTTTTCTACTGTACTGTACAATGAGATTTTGAAGTTTCATTAAAAGACTATTTGGGGCAGCACCTGTGGCTCAGTGAGTAGGGCACCGGCCTATATACCGAGAGTGGCGAGTTCAAACCCAGCCCTGGCCAAACTCTAACAAAAAATAGCCAGGCATTGTGGTGGGTGCTTGTAGTCCCAGCTACTTGGGAAGCTGAGGCAAGAGAATTGTCTAGGCCCAGGAGTTGGAGGTTGCTGTGAGCTGTGACCCAATGGCACTCTACTGAGGACAATAAAGTGAGACTCTGTCTCTAAAACAAAAAAAAAAATCACTGGGTTGACAGGACTAAATTTGAGAATATTTGTAAAGCACATATAGAACACAGTAGGTGCTCAATCCATGTGTCCTACCTGAGTCAGTTTCCAAAGCATTTCTCAAAGAAAACTCCCAAAGTCTGAATGGCAGGAACAAGAAGGACTAGATCTTGGGTGCTGGCTTTCTGGCCTGTTTGTTTTACATTTCCCACTTGGTTCTTGTATAAATTCTGGGTGTATGTACAGTAGGATATTTTTGTGTCATTTTATAGTCATATCTCATCAGAATGAAGTAAGTAGTGACAGCCCTTTATGTACATCATATTTCTGCCCTAACACAGTGTTTCTATTCTCAGAAGTACTTGAGTAAAATTTACTCTTCCTTACAAGATTTCTGGTGAAACATTATTGTGACCTGGAGCCTATGGTATCAATTATTATTATTATTTTTGAAACAGAGTCTCACCACTCGGTAGAGTGCCCTGGGGTCATAGCTCACAGCAACCTCAAACTCTTGGGCTTAAGCAATCCTCTTGCCTCAGCCTCCAGAATAGCTGGGACTACAGGCCCCGGCCACAAAGACTATGTTTAGAGATAGGGTCTCGCTCTTGCTCAGGCTGGTCTCGAACCTGTGAGCTTAGGCAATCCACCTGCCTCAGCCTCCCAGAGTGCTAGGATTACAGGTGTGAGCCACTGCGCCCAGCCAATTATTATTATTATTATTATTATTATTTGAGAGCCCTAAGATGTTCCCCTGGGTAGAGTACGGTGGCATCATAGCTCACAGCAACCTTCAACTCCTGGGCTCAAATGAGTCTCCTGCCTCAGCCTCCCAAGTAGCTGGGACCACAGGAGCCCACCACAACGCCTGGCTATTTTTTTTTTTTTTGGGTTGCAGACTTCATTGTTGTTTGGTGGGCCCGGGCTGGATTCGAACCCGCCACCGTAGGTGTATGTGGCTGGTGCCTTAGCCACTTGAGCCACAGGCGCCAAGCCCCAATTATTATTGTTTATGTGACTGGTCTTGTTCTGTCCAGGCTGGAATTGAGTGGCAGGATCATAATTCACTGTAATTCAGTGGTAAGATAATTCGCCCCTGGGCTCAAGCAATTTTCCCGCCTCCCAAGAAGCTGGGTAGAACTACAGGGGCATGCTAACAAGCTATGCTAGTTTTTATTTTTATTTTTGTGTAGACAGGGTCTTGCTACGTTGCCAAGGCTTCAATTACATTTTTAACTGTAGATAACCTACTTTAAGGTTTATAATTTTGTATTTCTGTAGCAATTATCTTGGTAAAGGGGCTAAGTATGATTATAGAAGTACAGCGTGATAAAAAGCAGAGGTAGGGGGCTAAGCAAGTTACATTCAGCAGCGTAAATAACAACGAGCTTAATGAATGCACCAGGTACCAAGCCCTCTGCGACGGTTTAGTACGCTGTCTGATGAAGTGACTGAGATTCCCTGTCGTACAGCTCAGAAGCAGACAGCAGAAATGTCCACGTTTACTCTGCTAGTACAGTAAGAGGCAGAGCAGGGGTCCGGGCTAACTGGATGCTACACAGTTGTCTGAACGCTGTAAAACCATGAATTATTAAACTATCAAAGGGCGGGTGGGAGCAAAGCAATTCGGTACCTTTGGAAATGTGTGGCAACCTTACATGCTTTCGAGAAGAGCCAGGGTCTAGGATGGAGCGGAGAACACGGGAGACCAGCCAAGGTAGCTAGTTTCCCGACAGCCCCTTGCGCAGCCTAAGAGCCCGGGTGCCGTGGGAACCGCTTCCGGAACGCGCCTGCCGGCCCTGCCTCTCCGGGGGCGGGGCGAGAGCCGCGCAGGCGCTGGGCGGGGCGGGTGGGCCGTGGGCGCGCTCTCCATGAGGTGTATGTCCGGGCTCAGAGCGCTGCTGGGGCTGGGGCTGCTGGTTGCGGGGTCGCGGCTGCCGCGAATTGGAAGCCAGGCCGGCACCTGCCACTCAGGACGCGCCTGGTGGGGACCGCAGCGGCTGAGCTCGGGTGGCCGCGGGGGCTCAGAGGTCATGGCGAGCCCAGCGGTGAAGTACCTGAGGTATGCTAGGTTCCGGTCCGGCCCGTGGGCGGGCCTCGGGTGGCCTGTCTGCCTCCCGGGGGCCGATCTCGGGCGACAGCGCTGCCTCTGCTGCGGAGCACCTGAGGGCGAGGACTCAGTCTAAGGGTCTCCCTCAGCCAGGAGGAGGCCCAGGCCGTGGACGAGGAGCTATTTAAGGAGTACCAGTTCAGCGTGGACCAACTTATGGAGCTGGCTGGGCTGAGCTGTGCCACAGCCATTGCCAAGGTCAGTGGCATAACTCCTGGTTTTTGGCGGGGGTGGGGGGGGAGTCACTGCCCAAGTCTCCATGGTTAGGCACAGAGGGCTGGGAGAGACAGGCGAGCCAACCCTGTTACTTCCCTAAACCTAAGGTGACCAGACATCCCTCTTTTGGCGGGACAGTCCCGACCTCCAACAATTTGTCCCGCGTCCTGCGGCGTCTTAAAAAAGTCCCATTTTTGGAAAGAATGCACGATAATCTAGGGAACGGAACGGCGGGGCAACGGGAAGGTAATATACGGTTTTCAGCTACTGAAAAGGTTAATGTAACTCCATTTGGGAATAAAGAGGTTAATGTAACTTCATTTGCAAATGAAAAGGCTAATGTAAACTCCCTACTCCCCTCCTGGGCAAGGTCGCCCGGTGCCCTACTCCTTTGAACCACAGGCGCCGCCCTATACATAATTTTTTTTAAATGTATTTGTAAATTGTACTTATGTTGAAATTAAAAATATAGGTGGTGCGTGTGGCTCACAGGAGTAGGGCGCCAGCCCCATATGCTGGAGGTGGCAGGTTCAAACCCAGCCCCAGCTAAAACTGCAAAAAAAAAAAAAAAAAAAAAAAAAAGAAATTAAAAAAATATATATTACAATACTATTTTTGCGTTCTATGAAAATTTTTGTTGTTCCATATAGGCCAAATTTTTAATTAAGAACACCCCACCCCCGTCAATGGTGCCCCGCTTTACCAATGTTAAAATCTGGTCACCTTACCTAAACCTCTGAATCCCCCTTGACCCCACCTCCAGGCATATCCTCCCACATCCATGTCCAGCAGCACCCCTACTGTTCTGGTCATCTGTGGCCCAGGAAATAACGGAGGAGACGGCCTGGTCTGTGCCCGACACCTCAAGCTCTTTGTGAGTATTTGGGAGAGGGTAGGGGCGTGAGGGTTCTGGGATCTGGGGTTGAATTACCACTTTCCTCCTAGGGCTACCAGCCAACTGTTTATTACCCCAAGAGGCCCAACAAACCACTCTTTGCTGCATTGGTGACTCAGTGCCAGAAAATGGACATCCCTTTCCTTGGTGAAATGCCCTCAGAGGTAGGTAGCTCCATTTCTGTACCCCTGTCTTCAGTACCCACTGCCTGTAGTCTGCTCTTCCTCCGTGTTTCCAGGCTGAGTTCACTATAGTGCTGGACACAGAAGTGCCTAGAAAGATGCTACTTCAATAGAAGGCATAGAAGAGCCTTCTTCTTCATAAGGTGGGCTCCATGAATCCCCAACCCACCTTTTCTAAAGTTCCCTTTCTCCATCTTCCCTGGTCACTCCCTCTGTAGTCAGACTCTCCTCCTCTAGCATGTGGTAAACACATGATTTGGCCCTCTCAGGGGCTGTAGTGACTGTTTCACCCTAAACACATGCATGGATTTAGGAGTGGGACATTTGAGATTGTGAGGGGAGGTCTCACTCACCCTGGTAGAGTGCCATGGCATCATCATAGCTCATAGCAGTCTCAGACTCTTGGGCTCAAGTGATCCTCTTTGCTTTAGCCTCCTGAGTAGCTGGGACTACATTGTGCCCACCACAATGCCCAGCTAGTTTTTCTATTTTTACTAGAGATGGGGTCTTGCTTTTGCTCAGCTGGTCTCAAACTCCTGAGCTCAGGCAATCCACCAGCCTTCACCTCCCAGAGTGCCGGGATTACAGGCATGAGCCACTGTGCCTAGCCTGAGAAGTTTTTTTCTTTCTTTTTTTTTTTTTTTTTTTTGTAGAGACAGAATTTCACTTTATTGCCCTTGGTAGAATGCTGTGGCGTCACACAGCTCACAGCAACCTCCACACAGCTCACAGCAACCTCCGCCTGGATTTAGGCGATTCTCTTGCCTCAGCCTCCCGAGTAGCTGGGACTACAGGCA